CTTGGAGGGTATCTTGGGCTCCCTGAGGCCCTCTTGGAGCCGTCTTGGGCCATCTTGGGCGCTCCAACGCGCCGCGGAACCCCCTGTCCAGGTCAGTGGGGAGGGGGTAGGGGGAGGGGTAAACCCCTCCCCGAAGGGGAAGAAGGAGGGGTGGAAGAGGAAACGCTCTAAACCACCGACGCCCAGAGGGCTGGTGGGATTTTTCATTTTTCGTCCAAAACCCCCTGCAGGAGGACAGGCCCGACCTAAGGATAGGCTCAGGGGGGACTTCTTTGACCCCCGATCGCCCAGTGCAAACCGCGCCGAGCGGGGCCCCGGAGGACGTGCGGCCTGGCAATTTGGGAGGGGCCCGTCTCGCCGGCTTGTCTGTGATCTCGCTCGCCGATGCCGGGTCGATGTCTCCCCAGGAGGAGGAGGAGGAGGAGGAGGAGGAGGAGGAGGAGGAGGAGGAGGAGGAGGAGGAGGAGGAGGAGGAGAAGGAGGAAAAGGAGTAAGGGAAGTAGGACGGCGGAGGAGGAGGAGGAGGAGGAGGAGGAGGAGGAGGAGGAGCGGTCCCCCCTGGTCGTGCCCCCCAGGTCCGCGCGGATACCTTGGGTCGGCTTTCGGATCTTGGGTCCTGGATCTGTCTGCGATCTCTCGCCGATTCCAGGTCCATGCCGCCCCCGGACCGGCCCCCCCCATCGTTTCCCCCAGGTCCGCGCGGATGCCTTGGGTTAAGTCGTACCTGTCCCTCTACAGGAGAAGTATTCGAAAGTTGTCAAAACATAGTCAGTATTTTTGAGCCGTCTGTCGGTATTTTTTGACAGTGTTTTGCTGTTTCGTCCAACATCGGCCTGTAGGAGGACAGGCCCGACCTATAAACCTTCGGTCGGCCTTTGGATCTCGGGTCCTGGATCGCTCCGCCTCAGGCTCATCCCCGCCTGCCCACGGAGAGGCCAGAGGTCAGGCGATCGCAAACATGGATCAAGGGGGCGTGGAGGACGGCTGCGTCCGACAGGACATCGAGCCGAAAAAAAAAAAAAAAAAAGGGGGGCGTGGATTAGCCATGGGTCCCGTTTCCAGGGGGAATCGCGGGTTTCCGCCGCCGAGCGAGGCGGCACAGGCCGCATTGTGGGGAGGGCGCCTCCCCCGATCCATGGACGGATCGCCAATCCAGGCTTGCGCGCCCCCGGGGAGGGAGCGAGCCGGGGCGCGGCGCGGTGCTCCCTCTGGCCGCGGGGCCTCGGGGCGGCGCCCCCCCGTTTTCGCCGCGCGCGAGGCGGTGGGGCAGGACGGCGTGTGGGAGCAGGTCAACCCGAAGGCCGCCGCGGGGGTGTATGTTGGCGTGTACGTTTAAATCGGGCCTGTCCCTCTGCAGGAGGAAAGCTCCAAAATGGTCAAAGCAGGCGATTTTATCATTGAATTGCAAGTTTTGAGAATTGTCCGGCATTTCTTCAAACATTTGTAATATTTTTAGGGGACGGGCCCGACCTAAGCGTACCTTTTGAGTGCAGGTGTATGTGTACGGTGGCGGTTATAGATCTGCTGGTGTGTATGCTATGCTGGCGTGCATGTCTGCGGCTCCCGAGGACGCCGACGAGCGACAGCGAGGAGGGGCAGGAGGGTGGGGCGAGCGAGCCAGCGTGAGGAGGAGGAGGAGGAGGAGGAGGAGGAGGAGGAGGAGGAGGAGGAGGAGGAGGAGGAGGAGGAGCAGGAGGGTGGGGCGAGCGAGTGCGAGGAGGCTCGCAAGGGCAGGTCCTCCCGGAGGCCGCCGCGGGGGCGTGCGTGGGGCGGGCTGGCGGGCCCTCTCTTCAGGAGGGGAAAAAAACACAGACGCAATTAATCGTCGA